GGGTGGTTGATCCATACTTACTTATACTGATGAAACCTGAAACAGATTCTCACAAGCAACCATGATGCTAATCAAGGAGACCATGCCTTGCAATAAATCAGATGTCCCACATTTACACCAACAGTGTCATCACAGGCCCTAACAGCTTTACACCCAAGAGTAGTGGCACATTCATGCCACATGCTCTTTCTTTAATTAGATAAATGCTGTTATCTGTCAGCAATTTTCCTCTTATTCCATACTGGACAACTAGGCCAGAATTTATGCAAAACAATTAATAGACATAAGTTTAATATCTGGAGTCAAAACAAGGACAAAGTAATATTGGTGCATTTTAATTTCCCAAGAAACTTGATTGTAGATCTCAAGGTAGCTGTTTTGGAACAATAAAACTATATCAGCACTATAGAGTGAGAGACTGCACAACTCACATACATCAAAAAATTTTCAAGGTATTTCAAAAAGTCTTAATAAACACCTTTTAAAAATACATTACAAGTGCCAATTGTAATCTATCTTGCATAGATAGATTACTTAACCAGCTTTCTTGCACCACCTTGCCTTATCTCAGTTTAAATTCTATGTCAGTTGAACAGCTCTATGAATTAGGTGAGCTACGATTCATCAAGGCTTATGCTTTTTAATAAAATGTGTTATTCTAAAGAAGTGCTAATAGATTTTTGCTGATTTTTGGTGAGATTAACATAGCTCTCCTCCTATAATGATTAGTCTAATAGCTGTGAGAGAGTAAAATGCCCTCCCTTCTGATTTTGAAGATTCCAGACTTGGACAACTATACTGATTTAATAGCATGCTCAAGTTTTAACTCTGACAATTCAAATGCCTGCTGACTGTGAAATCCATCACTTGCAAAAAATAAGCACTCAGTGCAAGAATATGCTGCTGAGTTTCAGTTGTTAGTTCAGCATGTGGGCTGGAATGCTTAACTGACCAATTCAGGGAGGGACTGTCAAAAGAAATGCAAGACAATCCCATTTGTCAATGCGCTGCAGAGAATATGGCAGCTTTTAATTTGTTTGGGCATCAGCTAAAGATGTGATGCAATGCTGTAGAATAGTCAGGAAGGAAAGTTGCGACTTTTCTGTGTCTCTGACTTCTCATCATATTTGTGAGATTTTAAAAGCTGAATCAATGCATCTAGGAATAAACAAGGCCTCATTATTTGCCAAAAACAGGTTAAGTTCATGTACAAAAGATCAATATTTTTACTGTGGAGGACCTGGTTACTTCACACAGTAAATTCCCCACCAAGACACTCCCTTGTATTGAAGACTTACAGCTACAGGGGCTGAACCATCTACACCATCTACACATGATGTGTTGCGACGTATCGTGACTTTTTTTCCATTGCCGGCAATGGGGTGGACACAGTTTCGGTATGATGCATCTGACCCATGGACCAGCAGTTTGACACCCCTGATCTACACTCTCTTTCCTTCAGCAAATGCATCCTTGTATCTTACCGGCCAAATACAAGAACCATTGCACACTCAATCTTATTCCTTGAATATAAATTCTCACAAAACACCAGTACTCAGTCAAATACATAGTTAGCTTGTCTAAATGTTTTATAGTGAAAACTTACAGAAAGGCAATGCTCTGATTTTGTGAAGAGGAAACATGGTTACCCATGACTAGTCGACAATCACTGGCTTTTGAACTTTATAACCATCATAGATTGCATTATGAACTCTTATTTCTGGTATAGAAGAATACTTCTTTACCAAACTAAACCTCTTGTAAACAGTTTTTTAGGACCAAGGGTTGTGAATAACTGTCCTTGATTCTTGTTATGAGAAGCTTGATTATGCAGGTAGGCTCTACATAATACCTATTGAATTATTTCTTGCTTTTCCCACCCCCACCCTCCCATCTGTATTGGAAACAGTTAATTCAGGGAGCAAGAATCTAATTGATCTTCTGTGCTTGGATGAAAATTGAAGACACATTTCAGTGAGTACCCTACTTTTAAATGAGACCATATAGAAGCAATTGAAAGTGGTAATTCTTGTCCACTTCTTTCTGCTTTTTCTATGAGGGCTGATAGCATGCTTTTGTTGTGAAGAAGGGGCAGCCTACATCTGTTCACTCTTCTGATAACATTTCTATTAGTATGAGCAGATATATGTTCTTCAACAGTATGGATCACATTATCCATAATGTTTTATTCTTGACTATATATCTATATATAAACTATACTGTGCTAATTTATTCTGTGGATCTTGGCTAAAGTATACCTTTTTGGGGCTATCATATTTCTATGAAAAGAATTTAGATGGATCTTGCTACGGTAGAATCCATACTGCCTTGAAGCCCCCAACATTCATTATACTTCTGGGCTCTTTATCATAATAAACATTACAAGAACTTTTGTATCATATCACATTTTTCAGAATTTTGCCAAATTTATAATACATTTATTCCTAAATTGTTGCCATATTCACATCCCTGAATCATCTTATCAAGAAGTCTCCTTCAAAGTGAGATTTTAATGTCCAATAAAGCCTTCTTCAACTCAAACACCATTTATTTTGTAGCCCATATTCCCTTGTACACCACCTAATTGTATTGGCTGATGATTTTGATTTCCATCTAGGAGCTTCTGCAATCTGCTCCAAAATCTGAGGACAACTTCCTTGGAAATCTGCTTCCAGGCAAACTTCTTCCTGCCGAAAATAACTACAATGATTTTAACAAGAGGCTTTTGGCCACCAATGGAACTTTTGTAGCATTGGATCCAACTCCTTAAACATATGGAATACCTAACAGATGTCTGCTCTTACTACAAGAAGCTTCTGACGGGTGTTTTTCCCATTTTTATTTTCTTACATTCTTAATCCCTTCCTACTGTTCAATGTTAGAAGAATGGAGGAACAGAGATGAATGAAAGGCAGTAAATATTGTTCACTTCAGTCAAAGAAGTAAAGAAAAGCACTATTACTTCCACCCTGCCCACAATTAGGAGGAGGAATAGGGAGAAATACCTGACACCTGCAGACTAATGGAGGTGAAGGACAACATACCAAAAGGCTAGAAATGAGTATTATTTAAATATCTTTCAGCTGTCCCCCAAGGCCACGGGTAGGGAACCTTGGCTCTTTTATGACTGTGAACTTCAATATCTAGAATTCCTGAACCAGCCAATACCCCTGTCCAAAGCCATAAAAAGACTGACTCTTTTAACAGACTAAGTTCTGGTGGAGAGCTATGAGTATATACAGTACATGTCTATTAGCAATAATATTTTTGTACTGCAATAGGCAATCAATTGTGTTAAACATAGGGAAAAGCTGTGATATACCATCAGACCCTGGCATGGAGCCTGACAAGTACTATAAATATGGAGCAGGTGGGGGCTTTTAATCACATTTTCTCTGAGTCACAGAATTGTAACTTTTCAGTAATGCAATATGAAAGTAAAGCAATATGAGCATAACTCAGAACATTGATCAAAGCAAACACTTAAGACAAACCAGAACTAAAAATCAAGAAATAACTAATCTCAATGCTTAATCTATAACCTTGCAGGAGTATAACTCTGATATCTAAGTATGGTTTACAATTTTGTAATAATGATGGAAAAATCTATCATGCATGTTCAGAAACAGTCACGTTTCCTACCTATATTTTCAGGATTGAGTTTTGCCATTTTAGTCATGTGACTAGGAAGTTTCATCTCAAATTTAGTTTCTTATCTGTCATTTGTTTCTCAATATTTAAAATCATATATTTTAAACAGGAAAGGATTAGTCACACAAGCTAAAACAGGCATGTCTAAAGATGGATAAGACACTTAAGGCTCATCCACAATTAACTTGGAAATAACCTGACCTATTTCCTTTGGCTTCTCTTTTTTCCAGACAATATGAACTGGATAATTGTGTATGTCAATTATTTGACAAAGATCACATGCTTCTAGACATAAGCTTTCCTAGCCAGGCATTTTGTAATCATTTTCTATAGAGATAGGAAATGAAATGAAAGGCTTACTTGTACATTTGAATCTATCTATGAAATCTCTACTTATCAAATCCCTGGTTATTACATTATTTATATGATTAATTTTGAAGCTGCCTGACTCTATAGCACCTCTGGGCAACTTACAGATAAAAAAATAAAAAATAAGAAAAAAGACAGCTGACTGAAGATCCCAAATGCCATGAACCTGAGAGGGCAACCAGGTCTTAAGCAATTTGTAGAAAGTCAGAAAGTAAGAGAAGTATGAATATCTGGGAAGGTATCATTCTACAGATGAGGGCCCATCAGTGAGAGTCATCACTCTCCTTTCTAGGTCCCATAAGATGAAACTGCATAGTTGATGGCAACTGGAATGTGCCCACTATAGATGACTTGTGCAATGGAAACATATGGAGGCAGGCAGTCCCTCAAGTAACCAGAACCTAGGGCTTTAATTTGCATTTAGAAACCAGTTGGTAGTCAGTGCAGCTTGCAAATCTGCAGGGAAATGTGCATATAATGCAACACATCTATCACTGCACATGCCACAACATTCTTAACCAGCAGTAGCTTCCAAGTGGTTTTCAAGCACACTTGGACACTTTCATGTGAACATTGTTGCAAATGATACCTTTGTATACAGAGCAGAGACTTTCTCAAATGAAGAGATAAATAGAATATCCCAAGAAAAGTTACTAGAAGAAGGATGGCTCTTGTCCACAAACACTATTTGGGCCAAGAGAATCCTGAATTAACTTGAGTACTTTTTCCAGAGGCAGACTATCAAGGACTTCTGGACTCCTGGATGTCAAATTCATGTGAGGGGGAAAAGTCTTTCCTGGATGGACTATAACCTGAAAAGGATTTTGGAGTTTATAGGATTCACTTCTTCCTTGAGAAAATCCTGAATAATCCTTAAAATCCCTTGTAATCTTTATAAAATCTATTTCAACCCAGGCACATTAGTCATAATTTTCTATGACTCAGGACATATAAAGCACATTATTTATCCATTACCTTACCTGGAATTCATCTTTTATCTGACTGGAATTTGTCTGTGGATCCAATCTGCTGATGTTGTAGTATATAGATCTGAATTCACAAACAGGAATGGCAGTGTTGCCACAAAGGCACGCTTCCAGAATGGCATCATGAACAAACACATACTGCTCCTACATATCAAAAAAGTTAATTGCTCATCACCATCAGGGCCTTCAGAAGCAATTGTAATGTCTTTCACTTTAATGAAACTTCCAANGCAAAAAAGCCAGAAATGGTCCATCTTAGTCTCCCAATTTAATTCTTTACTCTTTGTCAGAAAAAGAAATTTGGATATAAAAATATTTCGCAGTTGCGACTTGAGCCTGCTCTATGCCCCTAGTTGGGGGCGGCAAGGCAAGAGATATTGTAAAAAGAGTAAACTGCAGTATGGCAGTTGAAAAATGTCAAGGTGTTCATAATCAGACCAATCTGTCTGAACTCCCTATAATTACTCCCTTGACTCTGCTGGCAAAGAGGGGAAGAGAACCTGTGGCTCAGTGGCTAAATCACTGACTAGTATGTATAACTGCCCAGGTTCGAATCCCATAAAGGGTATGGCTAACTGATGAAGGCAAAAAAGCCAGAAATGCTTTCGATGGCCTAAAACTGCCATCATCGTCAGGGTATAATCAGGATGCTGGGAGAGCTTGCTTATAAATACAGTCATGTCTGCGCACGGCTTCATGCTTCTAGGAGATTACTCCTAGAAGCACGAAGCTGAAAACACCAGCCTGAAGATGACGAATGGGACTTCATCAAAACGTCGCCAAGACACTTCCAATTTTACGCGGGAGAAAACCCGAATAACCAAAGACCTACATATATAGATAGATATATATATAGATAGATAGATAGATAGATAGATAGATAGATAGATAGATAGATATAGATATAGATATAGATATAGATATAGATATAGATATAGATATAGATATAGACATAGACATAGACATAGATAGATAGATAGAGAGAGAGAGAGAGAGAGAGAGAGAGATAGATAGATAGATAGATAGATAGATAGATAGATAGATAGATAGATAGATAGATAGATAGATAGATAGATAGATAGATAGATAGACAAATTAAATCCAGAAGCAGCATACATTACTGTATTGGTGATGACTATATTATAAGAAATATCAGCATTTCAGTAGATAAAAACTATTGAAAATGAGCTTATTTTGTTTATAGCAAAAAAATAATCAGATGTATGTTTTGTGTATCCCTAAGCAATAATGGAGCTTAGAGGTATTTCATATCATGGAAAGTAATGTTACTAAATTAAGCTAATATAGTTTATTAAAATTAAGTTAGTGTGCTAAAAATATTTTGAAATATCATATATTTTCACAAGGTTATGTTTTCTTTCATTTTATTCAGTTTGCATCCATCTGAAAGTACTGAAATTTTGGTTAGGAATGGGTTGAAAAACAAGACAACAAAAAAAGGATACCTCTGTCTGCACCAAGTTAACTCTCTGGGATCGCAACTCTCTCACACAATTAAATATATCCACCACACCTTCATTTTCTGCCATGTCAAGCATGATGTCTATGGCAATAAAGCACCCTGTCCTCCCAGCACCGGCACTGAAAGAGAGATGGAAACCAGAACAAGGATTTCATCAATGAACCATGGAAAGGCATAACAGTGAGTTTGTCTGTAGACTGTGGTGAGGATATATGGTGCAAATGCAGCTGTATTTTTCTTTAGTCCCTCTTTGCTATAAAGATCTGAACTTCACTGCCTATTTTAGCTTCTCTTTGAAAAGCTGCAAAATTAAGAAGAAGGGGAAGTAAAAAAAAAGTACTGAGGGAAAGAAAGAAGACATAAAATTTAAAAAACCAAGCTTGGCTCTCGGCTTTGTCTTAAATGAAACCTGGTGCAAGTATATATCTGCAAGGCAATGAACAATAAATAGGAAGGAGGAAAGAGAGATGAGCTCCATTATTTGAAATAGTCATCCTTTCACTTTCTTTGTTTTAAACAAGTTTCTTGTTTATTTCAGAAGATATATGTCTATAAAAAATCTGCATATTTTCTTCTGCACCTTTGCCCTTGAAGATTAGGCAGATTATTTGTGTGGGAAATTAAGTCTGATCTCAAAATGCCAACTTTTCACTAGTCTGACAATCTAGATCAGTGATGGCAAACCTTTTAGAGTCCGAGTGCCCAAACTGCAATCCAAAACCCACTTATGCATCGTTGGGTGCCGGGTGGGTGTGGCCCATTGGGTGGGCACGGCTGCGGTGGTAACGGCAGACTGGGTGGGACTAAAAAGTTCAATCAATCAATTCCAACTTTGCAAGATCTTTTTTTTCCCACGAGAAGTTGAAATTGACTGATTGATTGAACCTTTTTTTTTTTTTGTACTCGGTGGCGGAGGCCTAAAGCGAAAAGGTTTTATAAAACCCAGCTGAAGGCCTAGGACTGGGACAACGGCACGAGTGCCCACAGAGAGGGCTCTGAGTGCCACCTCTGGCACCTGTGCCATAGGTTCACCACCACTGATCTGGATGTTAAAATTTCTCTCCTATAAATTATGCACATGTTATCCACAGTAGTCTCAATTCTGTAAAGATGTCCAGGTTATTTGGACTTCTGAGTGTCATATTCTTTCAGGAATGTGTATCTTGCAGAAGTACTGGTCCAACTTTATCTGGTATGCAGGGAATCCAAATTTGCACATTGAATGTTGTACTAGCAATTAAGAAAGAAAGGAAAAGAAAGGGGTTTTCTGCATCCATAAAAAGAATGTGTAAAGAAAAAGGCTGGGTTAGAACTTTTCCCCTGATGTCCTAATTTTGTAATTCAAGTTTATTTCTTTAGACATCACATTTTCTACAAATACATTTTGTTGTCACAATCAACTTTAAATGTATGAAAAATACATTTACCCAGAGTTCATTTAAATCATATTTCAATTTAAGTGCCAGCCAAAAATTGCAGATAATTGTGTTGGTAATTTTAAACCCCACAATCCAAAGGGATGCAAATGATCACTACTGCAAATTTATTAATGGTATAGTTTGATTCTCAGTGGAAAAAATATGAACTCTGCATATATGTTATCCTTTAAATTGTTGTATTCCTAAAAAATAACTCAGGGTGACAATAAATTATTACATGAATAAATTCCAAATTAACTCTTTGGCCATTTCTAAAAATGGCCCTATTTAAGATTTAATGAAGCAGATTACAAACGTAGCCATTGGCTACTGATATGGGACAATTGATGGCAGGAGAATTACTGTCCTTACCTGTTAAGGGGGAATTCAGTCATTGCTATGCATATAAATGGTTGCTGACTGCTGACAGTTTTTCAAGTTAAGGTCAGCAGTCTGTACCACAGAAAATTTATCTTATAAAATTGCAGGGCGCTAGGTTTTTCCACTGCTTCTACCAAAACTTTCACCCTTGATTGACTCACAATGGCAGCCAGCAAATCTTACTGGGAAATAATTTCACATTCTATTTCTGCCATGCACAGTCGTTCAGGTTGGACAGAAAAAAAATGATTTGCCTCTAAATGCAAATCATCTTCCATGTCTCCTTTCTCTCACTGTGAAATATTATTCTGCAAACAGGACAGAACTTACAATGTCCTTTCCAGGCTTTGATGAAAATGCAGCTAAACAAAATATTGCAAAATCCAGCAGGTATGAATAGAGTATGAATTATCAACCAGATTAAACTAGATGTAGGAAAGAATAATTGATATCATCTTAATGAATATATGGCATTTCATTCTCTTTAATTCACTTTTCTGATGTTCAGAATTATAATAAATATAAAATTAACATACTTAAATGTATTCTTAAGTATTGACCCATACTATTCATAAAGATTTGAGATGAAAATAATTAGATGACTAATAGATGACATTCTGAAAGCATTTTATTTATTTGTTTGTTTGTTTATTAAGTTTATATGCCACCTATCTACTACTGAGTGACTCTAAAACTTTAGGGAAATTTAGCCATTGCTACTATAGCTGAATATTGATACTTCAACACTTAACACAAAAAAAGGATAGGGACATGAGGATCATTTGAAATTAAAAACAAGCATCNAAAAAAAAGCTAGTATTCTATAGAGCAATATTCTACCGGCTTATACACTTATGGTATAAAGGATCATGATGAGCTTCCTTATGGTATTCATCTCAAGTTTCATACCTTTTCTTAAGAAAAAGAAAAAGAAAATAATAATGTAGGTTAATGATAAGAGTTTAAGTCTAAGTGCTACTGCTGTTAAGATGAATGTCACTTTGCTGTAATAGTGAGAGCAATCAACATAACACTAAGGGATAATGGGCTTGTCTTTGCTAGATAGGATCAAGGAAATATTGGATAGAAATTTGGCTTTCATGGCCTAGGCAGTCTCTTTGAGTTCTAGGATTCTACTTACAATTCTACTTATCACTGGAATAAATTCCCCTAGCCTATGGGAAATTATTAAACTATGCATGAATGTTGCTGTTCTGTATAGAGGTATTTTCTCTGATTTTGGAGATAATGCATAGCCATGTTTTTTGTCCTCCATGTCTCCGTCTAATTTACTTTATATATTAAAGTGTATAATGTATAGTGATGATTTCATATTGACTTTCACATTTCTTAATAAAACATAGAAAGAAACGGATACACTGAGAAACAAATTAGTTGATGAGGAAAATAGGACCAATGTATCCTTACTTTTTGGACTGTAAAAGTACGTATGACATATTCTGCCAATGGTTCTGTTTCAATTAAGGTCACTTTGATATCTCCATAGACTTCTGTGTCATCAGGCCAGTATCTGACACACTTCACCTATGGAGGGGAAAGTCACAAAAGTGAAAATTAATGTATGACATTTAGCTGTAAGGCATTGTTTCCTAGCTCTAGATATGGGCCTAAAATGTACATTCCTGTAGAAGAAATCAGAAGGACACTGCATAGGACCTCTCATGTACATGGTTGTCTGCATCAATTATTAGTAACCCAGAAAAGACCCAAAACAATAAGTATTGATGTAATTTATTTGTTCTGGTATATGTGTTTGACATATGAAACCCATTTGTTTATGGAAACCTTTTTCAGCCTATATTGGCAATACTTTATTTTGAATTAGACTAGTAATGTGTATAATGTATAACATATGTAAACATAATTATATATATATACAGTATGAATAGTGATACATGAACAAATACTATTATGATTGCTGTGGTGTTTGTCAACCAATTTGCAAACAGCCGAATTTGCTATCCTAACAATATTTATCAAGATACAATGATGATCTACAGTACATTAGAGCTGGGAAAATGATAGCATAAAATATTGTTCATTCATTGAATAATTAATTCTAATTTAGTTAAAATTAGGAAAGACAGAAGGAATCCAATCTAAATTTGTCAGATCTGAGTTCTGTACAAAATAAAATTCAAATAATGCAGGGGAAAATAACATCAGGAAAGTTGAGCGAAAGAGAAAAAAGGTGATGGGAAAGAAATGCACAACTAAAATTAGGTAATTGTACAAAATTGTTACTATTATAAGTTCTAGCTATATAAAGACCCTTTTTGTATTGATAGGTTATGTGCCATCAAATCAGTGTCAACTCTTAGTATATATTCACTCTTCTTCAAAATTATCTGGATAGATCCTTCATGATGGATACAATGGTGTATCCATCACTGCAATAATTGAATTCATCCACCTTGATCCTGGTCATTGTCTTCTCTTTCCTTCTACATTTTTCAATGTTATGGACTTACTAAAATATATTATAACCTTTGCATAGTATGTCCAAAATATGGTATTTGAACTTGGCCATTTGTGCCTCAAATGAAAACTCTGAGTTGATTTGTTCTGTGATCCATTTCTTTGTTTTCCTGGCTACCTATGGTATTCTGAGGAATCTTCTCCAACACCATAGTTCATAAAACATCATTATTCTTTTTATCCTTTTTTTTTTCCAAAGTTGAACATAGAGTGTGATAGAGACACCATTACTTGCATGTTTTTGATCTTTATAGGTATAGACGTATTATAGAATATGAATATTTCTTCCACAGCTTTCATTCTTACCCTACCAAGTGCTAGGCTGCAGCATATTTCTTGACTTCTGGTTCCTTGACTCCTGCTCCTGTTAATAATTGAAGTTTTAAAAGCAGAAGGTATCTATCACTTCAATGTCTTCACTGTCAATTCTAAAGCTGGCTGTGGTACTGTTATTAGTTTGGTCTTTATATTTAATCGTAGTCTCCTTTTTTACTGGATTCTATGTCTTTTATTACTAGAACTTGCAGATTATTTGCCTTTTCAGCTATCAGAATAGTATTATCAGCATAGTTTAGTTTTTTGTCCAGTTTTAAAGCGACTTTAATCTTTTTGAAATTAGCCTCCCTTAATATGTGTTCAAAATTGAACTTCAAAAAATTGGGAATATACAGTTTAACGCACTCCTTTGCTGACCATTTATTTTTTACACCATATCTGAGAGCAGGTATTTTATTTGTTCAAATGCTTTAAAATTTGGGAAAACAGAGTAATATAGACTATAAATAATAATTATACTTCAGACTCTCCAGTTCGTTACATTCTGAATTCTTAGCTCAAACATTTATTTAAATACATATTTTGTAGGTTTAGAAATGCAGTTAGATAGCAAATTTATTCAGAAATCCATATTATTGTGACAATACCAAAATGTATTTTAAAATCTGTATATAATTGCCAATTTGAAGTAATTTTGAATATATTGCCAGTTAATGTGTCAGTGTGGTATAGAAGATTTCAAATTGAGCACATGTAAGAATGATAGGAACCACAATATATAACTGATAACTTTGGAAATTAACATCTTACCCTGCCAACTTCCACCAGGTTGGTGACCATGACAACACTTGCTGAATTCTCCTGCCAGATCATCCTCCAAAAATCCTTCACTGTCTCTTGCATTGGCCCTGAAGGCAGAATAAGTAAAACAAAAGAGACCTCCCAAAGATTACTTTAGCAGAAACATTTCAATTTATTTGTCTTTCTGCCAACAGCCCTTCTACTACCAAAAAACAAAATCTCCTGAGTGTTTTCTTAGGTGAGGTCTGAAGAGCGATACAGCTGTTGAATCATACAAGTAACTACGGTAGGATTTAAAGTGGTATGCTAAACTTTCAGTAGTACTGCAAACAGATATAAATACTCATAATTGAAGGTCACTTTGGAGTAACACATGAGACAAATATAGAATACTAATTTATACTGGGACACAGTGCTAGATCTGGGAAGAATACTTACAGAGTATGAATGGCACCTAGAATTATAAATGCACCCTCAATTATAGGGTGAGATGTTAGGTGATAATACTCCTGGGTCACATTTTAATTACAAAATGAATGTGTGATTACAAAATGAATGTGTGATTTTTAACAGAAATCTTTTCATTCCCTTTGACAATTTGGTGCTAGGTGCTGGTTTTCATATTTCTGATTGTGCTTTTCATTTCCTTTTTTAAAAAAAATATTGAAAACATGTGAAAAAATGTCATTTTGAAAAACATATTAAAATTAAAGGATGGAACACAAGTTTAATTAATTACAAAGGAATCTTATGACTCCTATGAAACCAAGGGCAACATATGTGAAATTTCAATTAGTATGCATAAAAAAACCCCAGTTATATATTAAGTTGGCCTAAATACATATGTCAAAACAGAATTAAACTCTTATTTTTAACTTAAGAAACATATTCTAAGAAAATACAACCAAAAAGAAAAATGTAAATGCAAGAATTCATACTGTTATTAAAGAAATCATAATTAATTTGAAAAATCATGTTCAAATGACAAGGATGAATAACAAACTAAATACATCACCTACAATTATTTATCTTCCAAATTAATTGCACTACCAGCTTTCAGGCATCTTTATATCACTTATTTATTATTTTTATAAAACCTTCAGATCAAATCCATTTGGACCACGCTCTGATTCTATGGTACTTACCTTGAGTTGCAATGTAATGGTGAGGCCGATGGTATCCCTAAAAAGAAAACAAGGAAGGGAAACCCATGAATTTCAATTTCAGGTACAATTCAGATATGCATTTGACAGGTTAGAAGTTTGCTTAAAATCACAAAAATCAATGTTATCTTTGAAGCATTTGTAGTAGGAAAAGAGATATGAAAATTGCATTGCCTCCATATCCTCAGGACAGAGGCAGAAAATTCTCATTCATTCAATTATTAGAATTAGAGTGTGAATTAGAGGGTAGTGATGGAGACTTAATATCTGGATGCTTGAGACAGACAAAGAGACAGGTAAAGTCTCCAGACTGTATCTTACAGGTCAGCTGGAAAACAAATGAGGCTTTCTCAAGGTGACTCCTGCAGACCTCTAAAGATCATATCTGAGCTGGGCTATAGAAAGATTCCCAAAGATGTTAGTTATATAATACTACTGAGTGAAAAGAAAACATAGTATCATTCATATTCACATGAATTATTTATGATAGGAACTGCCTCAGATTTCCTTATAGCTCTAAAAATTCTGAAACCATTTATGCATCAATAAAAAAGGAGATTTATGACTAGGGATAAAAACTAGACTTTACTTTCATACTGTCTGCCTAGACCAGGGGTTCCCAACCAGGGGTGCTCACACCCCCTGGGGGCATGAGACAATATTTCAGGGGGTGCAAAAACTTGGGTTTTCAAAATTATAGTGTATATGCATAATTCATTGCCGTTGTTTCAAACTTTTGTAAGGGGTGCGGGAATATATCAGAAGCGTTCTAGGGGTGCGGGGTATAAAAAAGGTTGGGAGCCGCTGGCCTAAACCATATTCACTTTAGGATTTAGCTTATCTTTTGTGTTAACAAAACAAACATGGAGACATTTGTGTTCTCTCATCTGTGGCACACACATCTGTTTATTGTCAAAGCATAATAAGTCATTAGCTTGTATGTGGGGTTTGTTTTTAAGGAAATCATGTAGAATATACATTTTTACATGTTTTCCCTTTTCTTAATTGGAGGATCTTTTTAAAACACTGTGATCTAAGTGACAATTATAAAGACTTACACGAGAAAAGAGTATGTTTAGTTGTTTGCTAGAAGTTATACACTTAATTTGCTTCAAAATTCAGTTTTTTATTAGTCAGATGAATATATTTAATTTGTTAACTGCATCCTTCTTTCTGTTCTTTAATTTCACAAAATCTCTTCAGGATGCTTTATATATAGATTTACAATAAAATCTTTGCATTTCAAGTTCCTCATCTTTTTGCAACAGTCATCACATTGATCAACATGGTTACACTTCTAATTTTCTAGCAACATGGGGCGGTTGGGATCATGAGAACAAGAAAAATGTATTATTTTGCCAAAATTCAAAGAAGGCTATTTAGACATTGGCCTTTGAAGGCTTTTCATTCCTTTGTATGTTACCTAGCAGTAAATACCACTGATCTCTAACAATCTTCTTTAACGTTAAACTAACAAAAAAATTCTAAGATTGTGGAAGGTGATTGCTAGTTAGAATAGACAGTATTAAACAAATAATGAACATTACTTAGGTAAGTTGAGCAAATAATCTGACAGAGTAAGACACTTTCCTATACTCATAAAACTATATAAAACATATATTCAGTCCCATTCAATCCACATCCCATTCAAAGATAGTCAAAAACTGACAAAATTGCAAGCACAACATGAGCCATTCTTATTCAATTAGCCCATTGATTAATGAGTCATTAATTTGTGTTGGCTTTGGGATGCAAATTTTGATCCAAACATTGTAAGTTCTTCCTCTATTTGTTGTTGGTTTTTGTTTGTTTGTTTTACTAAATTCTATTTAAAGAAAAATGCCTGATTCTTAAAAACCTGGACTCTATCCTGTGACATTGGTCTGATTTAGTAATCTTCATCCCCTTATTTAGCAAAGGTCTCACTTAAACCTGCAAAGTACCAGGTAATTGGATCTAGCTCCATTTTAATTTGCCATGATGGGAAATTTAGTGGAATAAATGTTCATAAAAGTTACTGGCTAGAGTATTGCTACTGTCTTCTACCACAAAATAGTTATTTAAACCTAATGTAGCCCACTAAATAAGGATCACATCAGAAGACAATTTGCTTAGCGATTCTTCAGACACTTCCTTGTACAAAAACATTTTCTTACAACACTTACATCAATATAATTTGCATTAATGTAATCTGAATGAGGATCTCCATCTAGTAATTGCAGTCTCACCCTGGAGTGATCATCTGTAAATAATTAGCAGAAAGTGTTAATATTAAATAAATGAACATTTAACCAAAACAAATAGGAATGCACTATAAAAATGGAGAAAACTAGGAAGATGTTTTCATGTTTATGTTTCCATTTAAATGTACATTACATTGGTCCCAAATACCATGGCTAATCTATCCAGCAATATGTTTATTGTGTACTTTACTTTAAATTACTGATTTGTTAAAGCCCTGCTTGAGCTTAATATAGTCTGAACCTGACATAGTTTTTGTACTATGGTATTTGTTGGACCATCGTTTGAATCATTGCACAAGATAATATAAACCACACAAACCATACAGATGCCAGAACATTGTCATTTTTAAAGAATAAGATGATGAGAGAGGCTTAGGTTTTCAGTGATATTTGGAGATTTGACTTTGGTTTTATGTTTCTGTTGTTAATTATCAAGGTAGGCATACATACAATCTAAATAGAATGATGATGCCTTCAGTATCTGTTTATATTAAAATTCACTGAAAGATGGAATCAGCCAGGAATCAACATACAGGTTTTAGTTTGACCTTTAGTCTTTGTTTAAAGACATGGCTTATAAGGAACCAGGAAAATAGACTAATCAGAGGAGGAGATCCAGCCAATTTATGCTATTAGTTTTAAGTGCCATCTGCTCTTGCACAGAGCTCAGCCTTTTTGTTTTAATGTACATTTTCTGACAATACAATACTTAGGTATACAGAACATGAGTCAATTGCAACTGAATATGGGAAGGATTTTACAATGCCAATTTTAAGGCATATCTATTATAGTAAAAAAAAACTTTCTTGCCATCAATTCTATACCATAATGTTCTGTAATAGTTATCCTTCTTAATATTCAGTTTTCTAATTAAGATTCTAAGAACTGTAAGAGTTATGAGATTTTGGTTTCTATTTGAGTTTGCTTTAGTCACAAAAGTGAGAAGAAAATAATCCTTTGTTTATAAAGCAAGCCTGTAAAATACTAACTATCAGGAGGCACGGAGGTGCAGTGGTTAGAATGCAATATTGTAGGCTAACTCTGCCCATTGTCAGGTGTTTGATCCTGACCAGCTCAAAGTTGACTCAGGCTTGATTTCCACCCTTCCGAGATCAATAAAATGAGGACCCAGATTGTTGGGGACAATATGCTGACATTGTCAACTACTCAGAGAGGGCTGTAAAGCACTGTGGAGTAGTGTATAAGTCTAAATGCTATTTCTATTGCTATTATTGCAAGCATTTGAGGAGACAGCAAAATTCAGAAATATGTTGACAAGCTGAGCGGAAACCAGTAAGTTTAAGTTTAACAGGGAAAAATGCAAACACAAACGTTTGGGTAGGAAAAAGCTAAGACATGACTGTAGGATGATGGGAGCAGACTGGGGAGTAGTGCCTGCGTAAATGATCTAGATATTATGTTTGAGTTGAGCATGAAGCCACTGAGTGATGCAGCTACAAAACAGCAAATCTTAGCTGTATTAATAGAAATAGAGTGACAAGATTGTCTCTATTCTGCAGACAGCACCCAGAATATTGTATCTAGTTCTGGGCATTGTGATAGAAAAAACACTGAGGAACTATAGCATGACCATAAAAGTGTAACCAAGATGATAGGAAACCAACAAGGATAATAGTTGGAGATACTATATTAGTTACAGTACTCTTAACTTGGAGAAGACAAAACTATGATAGTTATTTTCAATTATCTAAAGGATTGTTTGAAGATGCAGAGGAATTGTTCAGAACTGTTCCAAAAGATTAACAGTAAATCAGTTTATATTACAAGAAATACAATTTTTTACCAGCTGGTAAAAATTAATGTTCAATATTTCTGCATAAATATGACCTAAAACATTATCTGTAGGTAGTGTTGGATCATTTTCCTCAATAAATAAATGAACAAGTGCAAGGTTTTATACTCATTTAATTGAGTTCTCTGTATCTAGTTTTAGGACTTGTGTAGAGAACAGATCATATTTTAGGTCATATCTATGCAGAAATATTGAAAATACAAAAGGGTTGGCAAACTTTTAAGCCCCACTATATGTTTCAGTCTTGCATAATTCAGAGCAGTGATTATTCAACAGGAGAGAGACTGCTGAAGAGAAGGCCACCTCTTTGTTATTATCACACCAAAACTGCATGCCTTGACATAGGCAACATTGATATATGTAACAGGAATGACTACGTTCATGTGCATTTTGTGTATCAGTTGCAGCATCCCACAATCACACGATCATAAATGATTTGTGTGTGTGTGTGTTTGGCAAAAAATGGCAAAAATGCCTATTGGGTAAAATGGGTTTGCACTTACAACTATGTGGTTTGCTTAACTACTGCCATTGTAAAATTGAGTCCGGTAATATGATGCTCTGATTTATGACACCAATGACAATCAAAATTCTGGTCTCGACTGAGGTTTTAAGTTGGGGACTACCTATATTTCTTTGTCATGCTAATTATTAATAATATTATTTTTTTGTAAATTAATTCTGTGTCTTAATTTAAGAGACATTATAACTGATTACTATGAAAATAGATTACTCTGTGTGAACTAAATGTGTGGTTTTATTGAGATTATAGAAGTTTTCTATAAACTGCTTTGAGCATAATATATTTATAGAAAATGTCACAGTTAACTTTATTACATTCAAATAAACCATGCAGAAACAAGCATCCATTTATAGTGATGTAAATTGACAAAATAACCTTCAAACCTCCAAATACCAACTGTTTCATAACTAGAAGAAGTTAAGGCAGCTATTTTCTGACTATCAAGTGAGGGCCACATCTTTTTCATCACTGTGCTTACAAACTTCATAGACATCTATGCCTATAAGTCACTATGCACACAACATACATGTCTCTGGATTCGGATCAGTTTGCAACATATGAGAGACACTCTTGTAAGGAAGTGCTATGAACTAGGAAATAATGTGAAATTATTAAATAATAGTTATAATTTCAATCTTAATTTCTTGTAAAGGATTGAAATGTAATGGACTGATTTTCAACTACATACAAAATAAAACACACACAATATAGTTGTCCAGATTACATGGGAATGGGCATCTATAATTAATTTAAATAAGTGAATGAATAAAATAATAATAAATCAAAGCATAGCAAAAAAATTCCATACCAAAAAATATATATCACTCCGGGTTATCAGATTTGATAATGTGATAGTTCACTTTTGATTCAGTATTGCAGTGAACATAGCCCCATACTTTCCATTATATTTATTTTCTGAATTTAATAAGATATTCAATACCTTCCCCCATCCATGCCAAAAATTACGAGTGTCTTACAAATAGTTCAAAAAAAAAATACAATAAAGCAATGAAATAAATATTACAATATAATCCTCTTAGCAGTAAGAGGTATCTTTCATTATCCCATGGGTGAACACTGTTATGTAACCTGCATTGGCGGCCAGTCATTTTCTGGGTACAATTCAAGGTGCTAGTTATCAATTATAAAACCTCACCTAATATATTCAAACAGAATAAATGTGGTCCTGATCCTCTCTATTAAATCTTGTCATCTTGCAGGACCAAAGAAATGTTCTATCTAGGCCCATCCCACTTCTGGAACAGCATTAGTAGCGTCCACACTCTGAAACAGTTCTGGAAGGCCTGCAAACTCCAGGGACTGGAGTTAATGTGGTTATGCGGCTCTTTTTGTTGTATTTTTATACTTACTGTTATGGTATACGATATTATTGTGGATGTTTTAGCTTGGTCTGTCTGTTTCCTTTAATGTTTTAAATTTTTAATATATATTTTTGTTAAAAGATTTTTAAAAAGATATAAAAACTAATACAAGCTAATATAAAGTAAGAAAAGGGAAAATAAGGAGAAATCAAAGAGGTACAAAGAAGGGAAAAAAAATGAAAGAAGGAAAAAAGTTCTGTAAAGCTTCCAATTTTCTGTGCAGCAATTATTGCTACAATTATAACTTATATGATGGTTACAACATACTTCTCTTCTTTCTATAATCTATTCAGTTTAATGATCAAAACATAAATCATAAGCTCATTTTTTTTCTGTTTCATGCAAAACATTTAAAAGGAGTTTCCAGTCAGTAATACATATAATACAGTCTTTTCTCTGATCAAAAAACTCAAGTTTCATCATTTCATCAGCCATTCGTCCATTGTTGGTAATGCTGAATCTTTTCATCTTTGGGCATCCCATAATCGTATTGCAGTTGTCATGTACAAAAACAAAGTTCCATGACTTTTTTCCAATTTTTGTCCACCATTTCCAAAAGAAAAATCACTGCTTTCAATTGTACATTCATCTTTTTAGGTCCTCTGAATTAGTGCATGTTCTTGAATTTAGAATTTTCTAGCTTTATTACACATCCACCAAAGGTGATAAAAAGTCCCTTCTTGTTGTTCATAATTCCAGCATAAATTTGAAGTGCTTTTTTTATACATTCTAGATAATTTCTCTGGTGACAAATACTAATAGTACAGCATTTGATAAAAATTCTCTTTAATATTATAACACAATGTAAATTTCAATCCTTTCAACCACATATTTCCCCTTGGTACATCTGTATAAGCAAAATATTGAGCTCACTTTATCATGCAGTTTTACTTGTTCTTCAGTTTCCAATTTCAATAAAAGTTTGTACATTTTAGCAATTACATGTTTATCATTTGTACACAGTTCCATTTCAAACTCAGTCTTAAAATGTTCAAAACCATGAATTATTTTGTCTACTTTAAATCTTTCTAATAATTGTAAATAAGAAAAACATGTACAATTATATTATCCTACCCCCCTGTTCTTTTCTTGATTTTATTTTACATTTTTCTTGACAATATTCTCGCATCTAATAATAAATTAGTTATTTGTATTTGCTTATTATTTCTCTATAATATAATCCTTGTTCTGAGAACTGCAGAAGTGTTTTCAGGCATAACCTGGGTTGTTCTATTCCATATTATCGATATGGCATATCTAACATAAGGTGCTTAAAGTTCA